CAGGAACAGTCATGATCCTTCTAGAAACTCATGACGTGTTACCAGAGTCACGTGACTTCCACTGTCGTAACAGTACATATAACTTATTCAAGAGGGCCGAAAGCACGCAAATAAAAGTATTTTAACGTAGATAAAAGTCCGTGTATAATTGTACATATTCATTAACTTACGTTATGAGTCTTAAACAACATTTATTAGAGGCTGGTAGCATGGTGGATCCCTCCAGTGGCATAGCGATATGTCTGCGGACTTACAACGCTTGAAACCGAGTTTCGATACTCGTGGTGGGCAGAGCACAGATAGCCCTTTGTGCTTAATTGCAAACAAACAAACAAGCGTGATGGAAAATATCGCTTATCTTTTATGATACTCTTCCTGAGTGTGTTCTACCAGAAGACCTCTTCCTGAGTAGGCGTTTCCTCTCCTCTCACTTTCTGGTGAAATTCACATTTGCACTTCTCGTTCAGTAATGATTGAAGAAAGTTTTGCATCATTCGCATCTCCTTCAATTTGTTTTAAATATTTTAATATAAAAGTCGTTATTACCGGTGTAGCGAAATAATAAATTTGAACTTATTTCAAATTTGTTTTTTTTCTTTTTTTGCTGCAAGGGTAATAACGCCTTTTATTTAAAAAGATTGATCAACTTCAAAATCAGAAATACAAACGAACAAACAGTTAAATATAATCATTTCCGCCAATAATATCAATTCTAAAACTTTTATACGGTTTTTTTTTAACCCGTTATTACAAAACTGTTATTATTATTAATCACTTATTCCCTAACAATTTGTTGTACCAAACGACAGATGGCAGCTTATACTTGGCTAATATTATTTTGAGAAAAAATAAAAATTACCCAGGTGCACACCCTCACAATTCCCTTAGTACGTATCTAGATTCTGACTGACTGACACACAGGCTGTTTTATTGGTAGAGATTGTCTGCACAAAATTTTAAGAACCTGCATTTTATTGATAATTTAAACATATCTGTTAGATTCTAGTGTATCTCAATATCGCACATACTAGGTATTGTACGTATCAAAGCATAATAAATCATGATTTGTTTCTACTTTCTTCAAAAATGGTAAACAGAATCATTACAATTTTTAATATTGATAGTGACAAGTAAAATGGTTTCAGTGTAATATAACTACATTGAGGTTCATTGATTTTATTAATGTCCCTCACATAGAATCAATCTAAAGTTCTAGACATATTGGTAACCAGACACTCAATTCTCCCCCTCCCCCATAAAGTGTTCTTTCAGTTTCTTAGGTTTCTGCAGTTCAAGTATACTTCATTTCTAACCTTCAACCTTGACCGTTATAATTTGTTTTAAAGCACTGTTTTATTTCTGCTAAACTCAACATTTCATTTTGCTTTACTTATAATAAAGTACATTTCATCAACTACTGTCTTTGTAGTATTTACCATACCAGAGACAGTGAATGATTTTTATTCATAAAGAATTGTCTTCTCACCAAGTCACTCACACCTTATTCAAATGACCAGCAATAAACCAATAACACTTGTAATTTCACATACTATTATTGTACATAAGAAAGTATCATATTTCGTCCCTCTGATGTGTTTAAAAGGTAAACATTATCTTATCTAAGATTTTCAAAACCTTTCAGGTATATGAACTTTCACATACAGAAAATCTGTTTTGTACAGTAATAACTTTATTTCATGTGTTAGTTACATGTGGTCAAACAATGTATCACACTTTGATATTTTCAAGCTTACTTATGGATGATACCGAGGAGTGTTTTAGTCATATGTTTGCTGTCTTTAATGATACTGCCTTGTCCAGTTTGGAAATGCATGTCCGTATTTTCACCAATGGAATAATAAAGGATTTGAGTATCACTTGTGCTCCAGAAGGGATATTTTTTGTATGTGTGTGCATGTATATAGGGTCATACTCTCTCAGTTTATACAGAAAAACCTCAAAGAACAGATAATGGATTATAACCTCTCTCTCTGTAATTTAGATGTACTGTTGACACTGAGAGTTAACTGAAACCAGAGAGAACAGTGAGGTTTAAAAGTTCTCTTCTGGGTTCAGGATTTTGTCAATGCTGCAAAAGGCCATGTCTAATACATCATTTGTGTCACAAACGGTGGAACGAAAAACTGCAGCCCAGATGCTCCAAAGCTGCTGAATGTGTTCTACCCTTGACTAACAAGAAGTACGAACAAGTGAGGGTCACCATCGTGACCTTTTGGTTTTGGGTATTTGCCCTGATACCATGTAGGGAAGGTATCAATAGAACAACCCAACTGTGGCTTTTTATGGCAGCCCAAACCCAACCCTGGTCACTGTCACCTGTATCTAGGTGAAGTAGACTAGAGGCACCATATATGAATGAAGTCTTGTCTTTCACCACTAGTAAGGGCAGCAAATATCAAGTACTGCATCTCACAGACATCATATGTATGTCAGCCTGGTGTTGGTGGAGACAGCATTGAGATGCTTTGTTTTCACAGCCACAGGTACCTGTGAGTGAGTTGAAGGTGATTTCTATTCTGGTATTCGAGGACACAGCAAACGAAGAATTGCATCAAAAAACAAGACTGCTTGAAACAGTTGGATTAAAAGACATGTGAAACTATGGTGTCAGCAGATTTTGATGATATCCTTATAGATACATTTGCTGAGGGTCTGAAAAGCAAAATAATGCAGGATCACTTGGGTATTAGACATGTACACCCTAAAGAAGTCAATATATATGGCAACTAGGTTCCAATAGGTTAACCTTGAGCTGGCAGATGGACAAGAATAAGTCTGCAGCGATCACTGCAGTGGCTATACCTTGGAAAGTACACATACTCTCAACAA